CACATAAGTTTTATGTGTATTTTACCATAATAAAAAAATTGGGAAAAATATACATATTGTAAAAAGATCTAAACAGACATAATGCTAAAGTGATAATTTTCTCTAGACGCACCACTTCTTAGAAATAATCCCACCTCAATAGGTTGGTATATATTTTTTTCAGGTTTCTGTGTTTATAAACATACTAATGTATGTAATAATTATTATTTTTAAAAATCAAATCATATGCTATTATATACTATCTTGCCTTTATTACTTCAAAAGTATATTTTATACATCTTTCCATTTTCTGCACAAATAGACCTCATTTTTTCTTTTAAATCAGCTTTCATAAAAGTACAGTGTGTAGACCTACTGTAATCTATTTAACATTTTATTATGAACAATACCATAACAAATATCCGTGTGCATGTGTGTGTGCGCGTGTGTGTGTCTTTGTGCAGATATGTATAAAATAAATTCCTAGAAGTAGAATTTCTGAGTCAAAGAATATGAATATTTAAAGTCTTAAAGATATTTGCCAATATGTTAGGCAATTACTTTTAAGACCACAGTACCAACTTACTTTTGGCTCTGAAATGAAATAATTTTATACTGCATTTTAATACTGCATTTGTACTGATTATACTATTTTAGTGACACTGAGGTTTATTCAGTTGAATCAAAATTGCCATTTTTTATGGAATTTATAAAGCCATCTTTTATAAAACATATTCTTATTTCAGACATGTTAAAATGTGAAAAGAGCCCCTCTTTTATTAGAAGAAATATGGTTCTTAGCTGCCTTGGAAAATAAATGATTAATCACTTATACTGTAAGAAAGCACTTTCTCAGTAACAGACAATAGTAAATCAAATTCTCATATTTATTAATTAAAAGATAGTACATTTCCCAAAGTATGTTTATATGTGATATGAAACATGTGATAGCAAACTTGACAAAGTTAGGGAATTAGTCACCTTAATAAAGCTGTAGAAGGCCTGTAACATCTGGCTAATTAATTACGGAGCATGTTCTTCCCTGCCACAGCATTCATAGCATCAGACCACAAAACAAATCAAACCACCCAGCTGTTTTCCAAGATGATAAACCTTGGCCCACACACCGGTGTCAAAAGGAGATGTTCACAGTTACTCTATTAGCAAACACTCTTACTGATAAGAACAGGCAGCTCTCAATTGAATGTGACTCATTCACCAGCATACAATTCATCACGATCTTTGATAAATAAGTCACTTCCGAAGTTTAGTCCCCAGACACAGCTGACTTTGGACATCTCTGCCAGAAGCATGGGGAAGCTGGGTATCACTTTCTAGCACTAATGTTTGAGCTGAATAAGGTGTAACAAATACTCCCTTAAAGTCTATTTTTGTTTTATTTTTATTGTTTTGTTTGAGGTGGCTAATTTCTCAAGAGATTAACATCAAAGGAGTTGTCAGAACGACTTAAAGTAAGATCACTTTCCATCTCAGGCATTAACTGTGTGTTTTCTACACTTGGGATCTTACCACATGTGTGCAGAAAGGTGCATCATGCCTTAATGTGCAAGAAAAAGAAATATATTAAGTAAGTAGTATATTTTGGAAATGTAAGGTCCCTCTTGGCTAAGCACAAAGAACAGAATCAGGTTAGATGATCTCAACTCTGAATAAAGATAAGCTCTTTTTCCCGTGTCTGAAATATGAAACACTAAGTCTATTTAGATTTGATTATGATTGGTTGAAATGTTGTATGTGTTAATAAGTCTCCACCAAATAAGAGGATTTTCCAGTTACACTTACCGACATTACTATTAAATCCTTTCTATGTACCCATCACTTTATTCTGAATTTTTGCAACTTTTACTAAACATACTCTATGTTCTTAAGCATTTTTGCACGTGACATGCAAACCCTTTCTATGACTGGAGTAGCAAAGAGGTAACTGTTCAGCTCCCATCAACCTCTGCAACTCATCCACTCCACCTCTGCTCCTGCTGTTAGTTTCTTCTTATTCAGAGAATGTGCTGAGCTTTCTTTTGCTATTTAGTTGAGCAATTCCTAATATATTGAAAAATGTGGTTTTCACCCAAAGTCTACACTTGCATGCCTCTTTGGTGTTCCCCCTCATGAAAGTAATGCAGTACTATCATAGCTTTCGATATCTTCAGGGTTTTTAAAAATCACCTTTTCTTGGCCAGGCACAGTGGCTCACGCCTGTAATCCTAGCAGTCTCGGAGACTGATGCAGGTGGATCACTCAAGGTCAGGAGTTCGAGACCAGCGTGAGCAAGAGCAAGACCCCGTCTCTACTAAAAAATAGAAAGAAATGATCTGGACAACTAAAAATATATT